GTAAATCTCTAGAACCTGGACTTTTGTGGTTATGTAATTATAGTTTATACCAGCAATTCATTAACATGCTGATCTCAGCTGCTCTTCTCCTCCATTCCTGCCTTAGTGGTGGATTCAGTCACGTTTGTTGGTATTGAGACAGGGTCTTTGCTCTGTCAACTGGACTAGAGTGCAGTAGCACAATCGTAATTCACTGTCTCCTAGGCCCCAAGGATCCTCCTAAGTGGCTTGGACTATAGGCATGTGCCACCACGCCAGGGTAATCTTTTTGATTTTTGGTAGATATGAGGGCTCACTATGTTTCCCAGGTTGATCTTGAACACCTGAGTTCTAGGGATCCTCCCATTACAGTGTGCCAAAGTGCTGGGATTACAGGCATGAGCCACCATGCATATGTAGCCTCAGTTATATGTTTCATTGTTCTAGATTACCTTTCCCATCAACTGATAGCCACTTTTTAACCCTGCTCATCAGCTCGTCACATCCTGGAACCACCTTTTGATTCTTGTGCCATCGTCAGAGGAAAAACTCTTGACTGTAACGTGATGGTCGAGAAAGTTTCAGAGGTAAAAAAGACTCTAATGTCATTTAAGGAAACTAGTTCTTCTGCCTCTATTCTTTGGAATATTTAGGGCTAAGTTCTTAGTTTCTGACATGATAAAAATTTGAAAGTATCCTGTTCTAGGAGCCATTTGAAAAAACTGACTAGAATTTAAGAGTGATTAGAGTAATAGCATTAGAATTTTTAAATTATCCGGTAGTCCACCGGATGGGGTGGCTCGCGCCTGTAATCCCAGCATTTTGGGAGGCCAAGGCCGGTGGATCACTTGAGGTCAGGAGTTTGAAACTAGCCTGGCCAACATAGTGAAACCCTGTGTCTACTAAAAATACAGCAATTAGACGGATGTGGTGCCATGTGCCTGTAATCCCAACTGCTCTGGAGGCTGAGGCAGGAGAATCCCCTGAACCTGGGTGGCAGAGGTTGCAGTGAGCCTAGATCGTGCCACTGCACTGCAGCCTGGGCAACAGAGTAAGACTCTACTAATAAAGAAATAACTTAATACATACCCATAGTCGTGTATCCCTCACAACTATTTTATGTTTGCATGTTCTCATCTTTACTTGTGTGCTTACTTTCTAGTAATGCCACTTAGAAATAGTTTCCAGAGAGATAATTCCTGAGAGAATTTTGTATGATTCCTTCTTTTTTTTAAGGTATGTATTGGGTAGAGGAGCATTTCATATGGAACTTCTAACAAAACAGGTGACGATTTTCTTAAAATTTTAAATTTTCACCCTTAATAATGTGTTTTGATGATGTAAGTCAGGTTGTAAGGAGAAAGTTCTTAAGTAATAGCTCCTACTCTTAAAGAAATTTTAGTTGCTTTTTTCTTTTAAATACCTCCTACTTTCAAAAATGAAAATGGTAAACCAGTAAAGTGGTTTTGTAGTTGGTGCTGAATCTATGCTAGTACACGCATTAAGAGTAACCTTTATTTGCCGGGCGCGGTGGCTCAAGCCTGTAATCCCAGCACTTTGGGAGGCCGAGGCGGGTGGATCACAAGGTCGAGAGATCGAGACCAACCTGGTCAACATGGTGAAACCCCGTCTCTACTAAAAATACAAAAAATTAGCTGGGCATGGTGGCGCGTGCCTATAATCCCAGCTACTCAGGAGGCTGAGGCAGGAGAATTGCCTGAACCCAGGAGGCGGAGGTTGCGGTGAGCCGAGATCGCGCCATTGCACTCCAGCCTGGGTAACAAGAGCGAAACTCCGTCTCGAAAAAAAAAAAAAAAGAGTAACCTTTATTTAAGGTTCTAATTTGCTCATGTTAGGCACTTAGAACATAGGTTTGTTGTTCTTTGTGAGATTCTGGAAATGGTCCAGTTTTACCTTTCCCCGTGACTACAGACTTTTTAATACTGATTTGCTGCTGTTGAGTTATATGCCATTTTGTTAGGCCTTCCCAAGTGGGAATTAGGAACGTTGCTATATTCTAGAGATGTTTTGTTCTTCCTGTAGGGCTGGAGCAGTGCCTACTGAATGGAATGGGTCATGATGCAAATGAATGCCACCTTAGTTGAAGGCAAAATCAGAATGCAGTTTGGAGCAAATAAGGTAATTTTATTAAGAATTTTACCTAAACCCTAAAACATATTTTATATTACTTTATGAGCCTTCTTTTTGTCTTGACTTCTTTTTGAGAGAATGAATTTCATTTTCATTTGCTTTGTTTTCTTGTTACAAAAGTGATCTATAGAAAATACAGAAGTATAAGAAAATCAAAGATATGAATTAATTACCATTTAATGATTTAGGGTCTGTTTTTTTAGTCTGTGTTAGATGTACTGTAGATAAACATGTCTACTGCTGTATATTATTGGTATGTATCCTGCTGAGACCAGCTGGGGCGTGGAGTCCTATTCCTTTGGCGGTGCTGAAGGAGTTAAGGAACAGACAGTATAAAGCGCAAAAGTGGGATCAGAGTGGGATGTTAGGGGGCCAACAGCATTTCCCAGCTGAAAGCCCAGAGCAGACTCTGACCCACGTATTGATTCTTTGTGAACAAGTGATTCTCTTTAATAAGCAGGTGCTCAATGTTTCTTCATAGAATAAAGACACAGGCAGATAATGCCTGTTCACTAGTAAAATAGGAATAAGCTAGGAAGCACTCTTTGCAAGTCAGCGAGGGGGACAATGTCAGATATCCTGTGATTTGCAAACTGGTTTAACTAGTGCATAACCAATACATATTGTTTACAATTCTAGCAGTTTTCTCCCTGGGGATGGCTCAGTGTTCCTTCCCATTGCCTCTCAGCAAACAACATACTCCATCACACATGTGTCAAGACCTTCTCCCAGCAGTATACCCTAGTAAGTTAAAAATTACATGTACTTGGAAGTTTTGCAAAATTGAGTTTCTATATAGAACTAATAACAGGTGAGCTTTTATGTGCTAGGCTCTAGTCTTTAATTCATTTAACTTTTTTTTCTCTGTACCTATAGTTCTAGCTACTACAGGCATGCACTGAGGAGGCTGACGTGGGAGGATCACTTGAACCCAGGGGGCTGAAGCTGCACTAAGAAAGTTCGTGCCAGCCTGGGTGACAGTGAGACTCTGTCTTAATATAAAGTAAAATCAAATCAATACAAAATGTAATTGCTAAAATAAGAAACTCAGTAGATGGATTAGATATCAGAAGAGGGGATTAACTGATGAGACGATTATCTCCAAAAACATAAGGCAGAATGTTACACAGAGACAATGAGGATAGATGATAGGGCAGAAGTATGTGTGGTGGTGGGGAAGAGAGATCAAAATGAGGTCTAAAATATGTCTCAGTGGACCCAGAAGGAAATATTAAAATTATATTAGAAAGTGAGAGAAAGGCCGGACACAGTAGCTCACGCCTGTAATGCCAACACTTTCAGAGGCTGAGGCAGGTGGATCACTTGAGGCCAGGAGTTCGAGACTAGCCTGTCCAACATGGTGAAACCCTATCTCTACTAAAAATACAAAAATTAACTGGGCCCACTGGTGGCAGGCAGCTGTAATTCCAGCTACTGGGGAGGCTGAGGCATGAGAATTGCTTGAACCTGGGAGGTGGAGTTTGCAGTGAGCCGAGATCACCACTGCACTCCAGCTTGGGTAATAAGAGTGAAGCTCCATCTCAAAACCAAACAGAAACGCAAAGTGAGAGAAATAGAAGTTCTTAAGGTATAGAAGCCCTAAAAGTCATAGAAGCACTCCACATAAATCAATCATAACAAATATAAATGGACTAAAGTTACTCTGATTTAATTGATAAAATCCAGCTGTTTTAATCCATCATATATAAAGTATGAGGATATGAAAAGATGGAAAGTTTTTATAAAGGAGAGAGATTGATAAAGATATGCCAGTATACATTAAGCAAAAACAAGGGATCTGGCCAGGCACGGTGACTCACGCCTATAATCCCAGAGAGGGTGTCAGGGAGCTCACTTGAGGTGAGGCAGATCACTTGAGGTCAGGAGTTTGAGACCAGCCTGACTAACATGGTGAATGAAACCTTGTCTCTTCTAAAAGTACCGATATTAGCTGGGCATGGTGGCATGTGCCTGGAATTTCAACTACTGGGTAGGCTGAGGCAGGAGACTCCCTTGAACCCGTGAGGGGCAGGTTGCATTCAGCTGAGATCACACCACTGCACTCCAGGCTAAGCAACAGAGCGAGACTCCGTCTCAAACAAACAACTGATGTAGCTTTCTTATCAAAGAAACTAGGATTTTGAAACAGTGTCTGTAGCATGCATCTGTCTTCGAGGAAAAGCAGGGGACAGTGGCTCATAATAGTGTTTACTAGAATGCATGCTGACTCTGCTATAATTAAAAGAAAACACAGCTATGCTGACATCCACGGCCCTCATTAGCATGTGTTTCTTCCCCAAGGTTTTGTCAAACTTTCAAAAAACCCTTTTCCAAATAGTTATTCACAGCGAATTGCCCATCAGACCAAGGTCCGCAGGCTTTCAGAGACACTTCCATTGTGAAATGCACAGCGGCCCCCACCCTAGCCACCAGGCTACCCACCACTGGCCACGGAAGTGTGTGAGCAGCAGCGCCCCCACGTCTTTGCCACTGCCCTGCTGGTCTGAGTACACCCCTGAGGATTGACGGGCTCTCCCACAGACACTGCCCCACCATGAGCAGACCCAGGGCAGCCGGAGAGAAATGGACTCTCTTCTAGGGTGGCAGTAGGGGCGTCTTCTGTGAAACACCAGTGGCCCATCAGCCCTCGAAGAGACTTTACCCCTCAGTCTGAGGGGTAAGCATAAGAGTGGCCAGAGCATTCACACAACATGCTTCGTAACTGGACCAGTGAAGGGCTCGGCCACCATTAGAACTGCAAGGCACCCACCCCTGCCACCCCCTCGCTTCAGCATCTGCGAGGGCTGTACCAGGAGGTTTCTTGCTCTCAGGCCCCTCTGCTCCCTTCTCTGGGACAGCCAGAGTCCTACCTGCTCGTGGAGCCACTTCGGCCTCTCGTCTGGGGTCCTGGTGTTGGACTTGAAGCCTCTCTGGGGATCTCTGTGGTACTTGGCCTTGGAAGGGAGGTTCAGTGACTTGGCTGGGAAGGCAGGCCTCCGCAGAGTCCCCAGGCTCGGGCTCAGGCCCATGCTCAGGGCTGGCCTCACTGGCGCCGGTGATGCTCGTCATGCTCAGGCTCATCTTGATCTCGGCCACGATCTGGTCGATGTCCTCCTCCTGGTCCTCCAGGTCCCCGTCCCCATACCTCAGGCAATAGGGGGAGGCACCAGTGTCCTGGTAGCCCTCTTTGCTGGGACAGTGGGGGCCATCTTCTTCCTGGTCATGGGCCTCTAGGAAGGAGGGCTCAAACTCCAGGATGGGCAGGTAGCCCTCTAGGTAGTCCTGGCTGCCTTCAGCCCTGTGGTCCTGGGGTTGTCAGCCTGCCAAGCCTGTCCACTCCTCCACTGATGGCCTCCTGGCACTCGTTGGTGTCCACGGGGTGCACGCTGCATGGGCCAGGTACTTCTCCCCGTTGCAGTCCATGCCCTCCAAGTAGCCATCGTCCTTCGGGCAGTAGCGGATGTAGTAATTGATGCCCTCCTCCTCCTCAGAGAGGTCCTCGTCATAGTCCTTCTCCTTGGAGGTGCTGTTCACATAGTTGGAGCTGGAGTCCCCATCGGGGCTGTGGTTGTGGCACTCCTGTTCTTCAGGCACGGGGCTCTCTGGCCACAGGGCAGCCAGCTCCAGGCCCTCAGGTACATGGCCTCCAATGGCAGCTCCATGTCCTCGCTCTTGGGCTCCTGGCAGTGCGGGACAGTGCGTGGCCTTGCCCTGTGGTCCAACGTGCCGCTCCCCAAACTCTCACACTTCTGGTGGGCCATGGTGGGCACTCACACAGTTGTCATCTCCCAGAGGAACCACTGTAGAAAGGAACATTGGGAAGAACATAGTCAGAACCACACAAAGCCTGGCCATGCACCAGGCCACTCTACCACCACAGCATCTCCCACCACATTCTCCCACAGCAAGATGAAAAATGACAGCTAAAGGTTTTCATTGCAGCAATCTTTTTGTGTGTGTGAGACAGAGTCTCACTCTGTCACCCAGGCTAGAGGGCAGTGGCGTGATCTCAGCTCACTACAACCTCCACCTCCCGGGTTCAAGCAATTCTCCTGCCTCAGCCTCCCAAGTAGCTGGGACTACAAGCTCACAACACCATGCCTGGCTAATTTTTGTATTTTTAGTAGAGACGGGGTTTCACCATATTGGTCAGGCTGGTCTTGAACTCCTGACTTCGTTATCTACCCGTGTCCGCCTCCCAAAGCGGTGGGATTACAGGAGTGAGCCCTCGCGCCCAGCCAGCAATCTTCTAAAAAACTAGAAACAACCAAAGTACCCATAAATAAGGGAGTGGTTAAATAAATGATGAAAGAGTTCACGTGCTGCAAGAGTCGATGACATTTTTAAAGAGGCAGGACAACAAGCACTACAGCGAGGGATCTTAAAGGGAAAATGGCAAGTGAGCTAGTCAGCACACGTGTGTAGATCCCAGTTCCAGCTCCGTTAGGATGGCTAGAGAATACACACACACTCCCCAGCCCATACACGGACGCAAAGGCACACAGAAAGGGGGAAGCACCCAATGGCTTTTCAGCCATGTCCTCTGGGGAGGGGAGGGGAGAAAGGTGGGAGCAGAGGGGGCTTGCACATTTTACTTTATTGAAGATCTATGTACTGGTTATGAGTTTTTTACCAAAACGCACTGATTATTCACCAGCATTATAATCAAACCCACCTGTGCGCCTTTGAGGGTCTCTCTTCTAGCTGGGGAGATGTCAGACCTGAGACAAAATGTCCCGTGGGGAAGGGCAGACACCGAGGGAAGGAAGCAGAACTTCCTGCACCAGCCGCTGCTCTGGGCATCAGGAGTGGTGGCCAACAGGCCAGCCTCCTCCAGGAAAGTAGCCACTGGGGCAGAGGGGGCCAGCCTCCCATGTAATCAGGATGTGAGCACACCACAGGGCACAGCCAGAGATACCCGAAACACAGGAGGTGGCGCTGACCGAAAGAAGGGCAGGACCAGGGATGGACAAGCCAGGACAGCCGGGGCACGCAGACGAGCAGTATTAATTTGGGGAAGACTAAACCATTCAGTTTCATTCTAGTAGTCTGAATGCAAAATGAGTAGCTTGCATGCAAATGTGTGTGGTGGTGGTGTGTGCTGTGTGTGTGACATACAGTGTTCATGGTGTAGTACAGGGGTCCCCAAACTATGGCCCGCAGGCTGCATGTGGCTCCCTGAGGCCATTTATCCGGCCCCCGCCGCACTTCAGTAAGGGGCACCTCTTTCATTGGTGGTCACTGAGAGGAGCACTGTATGGGGCGGTGCCACAAAGCGTGGCGTCGCTCACGTACAGTACTACTTCCAGTGATGCCGGACGCACGCGTCACGGCTCCGGAAGTGCGTCATATGACGTACATCTGGTCTGCGGCTGCGGAGCCCATCACCGGAAGCAGTGTGAAACAACAGCAGAAGTAGGAAGAAAGGCAAAGCACTATAACCATTACTACACAGTACATTGGCCCCATACTCCCCCAAATGTACAACAACATAATGGCCCCTATAACCGCCCTTTGCCCAAAAGTCTCCCCCGACATTACTACACACCGTGTTTCCCCTATTATAAGACCCCGTCTTATATTAATTTTACCCCCAAAGACGGGGCCTGTCTTATTTTTAGGAGGTGTCTTATAATAGGGGAAACATGCAGCAGTGGGCTTCCCACAGAAGAGGCCCACCGCTGCTGCAGATGTCCAGGACACTGTATACACAGTGTCACAGGCTGATCCCCGCCATCCCTGTATACAGCACTGGAGGCGGTGCTGGGCCTGTGACACTGTATACCGCTGTCTGGGATAGTGGAGGCAGCAGCGCTGGCTGTGAAGGGTGTCACACCTTGCATAGTCCGGCCCTCCAACGGTCTGAGGGACAGTGAACTGGCCCCCTGTGTAAAAAGTTTGGGGACCCCTGGTGTAGTAGGTAGGGAGTGTGTGGGGTGTGTGTATTTGTGTATGGTGGTGGGGCATTCTGGAGAGTGTGGTAAGTGTGTGGAGTGTTCTGTGTATGGTGTGTGGTATGTGGTATGCGTGATGTGAATGTGATATGTGTGTGTGGTGTGTGTGAAGTATGATATAGTGTGGAAGCGTTGTGTATGTTTTGTGTGCATGGTGTAGTGTTTGTGGTGTATAGTACATATGAGGTGGGTGTAATATGTGTGATTGTATGAGGGGTGTGCGGTGTGTATCAGATGTGCATGGTATATGTATGTATGATATTGTATGGTGTGTGTGGTATCTTTGTAGTGTGAATAAGTTGTCTGTGTGGAATGTGCTGTGCTGTACGGGTGATGTAGTATATATCTGGAGTGTGGTGTGGTGTATATGTGGTATTTATGAAGTGTGTGTGGTATATATGAAATGCGTATGGTGTGTGTATGTGTGGTATTATGTGGTGAGTGTGCTATGTGTGGTGTGTGTATATAAGGTGTGTGGTGGGTATGGTGTGTGTGGTGTGTATGGGGTATATGTGTGGTGATTGGTAACTTAAGAGTGCATGGTGTGTATGAAGTATGTGTGTGGTGTGTGCAGGGTGGGCATGATGTGTGTGTGGTGTATATGGGGAATGTGTGAGGTATATGTGTGGTGTGTGATAGTGTATGAAGTACGTGTGTAGTATGTGTGGGGTGTGGGAAGTGAGCATGGTGTATATGTAGTGTGTATGGGGTATGTGTGTGAGGTGGGTATGATATGTGTGTAGTGTATATGGGTTAAGTGTGTGGTGTATGTGAGGTGGGTATGCTATGTGAATGGTGTGTGTGAGGTAGGTATGATGTGTGTGGTGTGTGTGATGCATATGGGTTAAGTGTGTGAGGTATGTGAGGTGAGCACAGTACATATGTGGTGAGGTGGGTATGTGTGGTGTATATGGGGTATGTGTGTGAGGTGGGTTTGATATGTGTACAGGGTATGGGTGTGAGGTGGGAAGGATATGTGTGCGGTATATATGGGTTAAATGTGTGGGGTGTGTGAGGTGGGCATGGTGTTTATGTGGTGTGTATATGCGGTGAGGTGGTGTTTCTGATGTATGTGCAGTGTGTGAGGTGGGTATGATGTGTGTGTAGTGTATATGGGTTAAGTATGTGGTGTGGGTGAGGTGGGTATATGTGTGTAGTGTATATGGGTTAAGAGTGTGGTGTGTGTGAGGTGGGTATGTCATGTGTGTGGTGTATCTAAGGTGGGTATATGTGTGTGGTGTGTGTGTAGTGTATATGGGTTAAGAGTGTCGTGTGTATGGGGAGTATGATGTGTATGTGGTATGTGGTGTGTGTGAGGTGGGTATGGTATATATGTGGTGTGTAGTGTGAGGTGGGTATGATATGTGTATGGTATATGTGTGGTGTATATGGGGTGTCTGTGGTGTGTGTGAGGTGGGTATAATGTGTGTGGTGTACATGGGTTAAGTATGTGGTGTTTGTGGGGTGGGCATGGTATATATTTAGTGTGTGGTGTGTGTGAGGTGGGTAAGATATGTATTGGGGTGTGTGTGGTGCATATGGGTGAAGAGTGTGGTCTGTGAGGTGAGTATGATATGTGTATTGTGTCTGCAAGCTGGGCATGGTATATATGTGGTAAGTGGTGTGTGAGGTGGGTATGATATGTGTGTGGTATATGTGTGGTGTATATGGGGTGTGTGTGGTGTGTGTGAGGTGGGTATGATATGTGTGTGGTGTGTGTGTGTGGTATATTTGGATTAAGTGTATGGTGTACCTGAAGTAGGTATAATATGTGTATGGTGTGTGTGAGGTGGGCAGGGTATGTCTGCTGTGTGTGGCACATATGAGTTAAGCGTGTGGTGTGTGTGAGGTGGGCATACTATTTATGTGGTATGTGAGATGAGTATGTGCAGTGTGTATAGGGTATGTGTGTGAAGTGGGTTTGATATGTGTATGGGGTATGTTTGTGAGGAGGGAATGATATGTGTGGTGTACATGGGTTGAATGTGTGGGATGTGTGAGGTAGGTGTGGTGTGTATGTGGTGTGTGGTGTGTGAGAGAGATTTATGATATGTGTGCAGCGTGCACGAGGTTGGTATGCTATGTGTGTGGTGTGTGTGTACTGTATATGGGTTAAGGGTGTGGTGTGTGTGAGGTGGGTATGATGTATATGTGGTATGTGGTATGTGTGAGGTGGTTATATGTGTATGGTGTATATGGGGTGTGTGTGAGGTGTGTGAGGTTGGTAGGATATGTGTGTGGTGTGTGTAGTGTATAAGGGTTAAGTGTGTTGTGTGTGAGGTGGGTATGATGTGTGTGTGTGTGAGGTGGGTATGATATGTGTGTGGTGTATATAGGCTGTGTGAGAGGTCGGTAGGATGTGTGTGGTGTGTGTAGTGTATAAGGGTTAAGTGTGTTGTGTGTGAGGTAGGTATGATATGTCTGTGGTGTATGTGAGGTGGGCATGGTATATATGTGGTGTGTGGTGAGGTGGATATGATGTGTGTGGTGTGTGTGTGGTGGGTATGGTGTGTGTGTGTGAGGTGGGTAGGATATGTGTGTGGTGTGTGTGTGGTGTATATGGGTATGTGTGGTGTGTATGAGGTGGGCATGATGTGTGTGGTGTGTGTGAGGTGGGCAGGTTGCTGAAAAATGCTAGTCCCATCTGACTGAGGCAGCACTCTCATTTATTGCACACTATTAAGTTTTTGTTTGGTGGTGTGTGGTGTGTGAGAGGTGGGTATAATATGTGTGTGGTGTGTGTGAGGTGGGCATGGTATACATGTGGTGTGTGGTGAGGTGGATATGATGTGTGTGCTGTGTGTGTGGTGTATATGGTGTATGTGTGAGGTGGGTATGATATGTGTGTGGTGTGTGTGTGGTGTATATGGGTATGTGTGGTGTGTGTGAGGTGGGCAGGTTGCTGAAAAATGCTAGTCCCATCTGACTGAGGCAGCACTCTCATTTACTGCACACCATTAAGTTTTTGTTTGGTGGTGTGTGGTGTGTGAGAGGTGAGTATGTGTGTGGTGTGTGTGAGGGGGTTATGGTATGTGTGTAGTGTGTGGTGTATATGGGTTAAATGTGTGGGATGTGTGAGGTGGGCATGGTGTATACGTGGTGTGTAGTGTGTGAGGTATGTATGTTGTGTGTGGTGTGTATGGGGTACGTGTGTGGTTTGTGTAAGCTGGATATGACATGTGCCTGGGGTGTGAGATGGGTATGATATGTGTATATTGTGTGTGAGGTGGATATGGTATGTCTGTGGTATACATGGGCTAAATTTGTGGGGTGTGTGAGGTGGGCATGGTATATACGCAGTGTGTGGTGTGTGAGATGGGTATGATACGTGTGTTGTGTGTGGTGTATATGGGTTAAGTGTGTGGGTTGTCTGAGGTGGCCATGGTATGTGTGCGTTGTGTGTGGTGTGTATGGGGTATGTGTGTGAGGTGAGTATGGTATGTGTGTGGTGTGTGTGTGCTATATATGGGTTAAGTGTGTGGGGTGTGTGAGGTGGGTGTGGTGTATATGTGGTGTTTAGTGTGTGAGGTGTGTATGATATGTGTGTTGTTTGTGGTGTGTATGGGGTATGTGTGTGGTGTGTGTGAGGTGGGCACGGCATGCATGTGGTGTGTGTGAGGTGGGTATGACATGTGCATGGTGTGTGGTGTGTATGGGATATGAGTGTGGTGTGTGCGAGGTGGGCATGGTACATGTGTGGTGTGTGTATGCTGTATATGGGTTAAGTGTGTGGGTTGTGTGAGGTGGGCATGGTATATATGTAGTAGTATGTGGTATGTGAGGTGGGTATGATATGCGTGTTGTGTGTGGCATGTATGGGACGTGTGTGTGGGTTGTGTGAGGTGGGCATGATATATATGTAGTAGTATGTAGTATGTAAGGTGGGTATGACGTGTATTGTGTGTGGTGTGTGTAAAGTGGGCATGGTATATATGTAGTAGTATGTGGTATGTGAGGGGGGTGTGATATGCATGTTGTGTGTGGTGGGTATGGGGTGTGTGTGGTGTGTGTGAGGTGGACCTGGTACGTGTGTGGTGCATGCACATATGCACACACATGCATACCTGTGCACTGCAGATGATAGGCAGGCTGGCAGCCTGAGACACCCAGCAGTGACCAGCTCAGCCAAGGCAAGGCTCCGGGCAGGAGTGGCCAGGCCCCTGGCAGCTCAGAATCCTGGATGCACTGAGTCCAGGAGGAGAGAACAAAGTGTATCCCCATCTCTACCCAAGTTCATCCCTAACATGAACCTATAATCCGCACTGAAACTGTTCCATTTCTAATAACAACAAGAAACACTCCAGATGGGCTCAGCACAGCCAACGGAGACTGTCCTACAAGGCCACAGTGTAGGCAGGCACCAAGAAATCATGGAGGCAGCTACCTTTTGTTTTTTCAAATGTGAAACATTTCTGAATGGCCTAACCAACACGTATTTATTTTAAAAGCTCACTTGAAGTGAAGAAAGAAAAATAATACACGCTCAGCTCCAGGGACATGCAAATGAGACTGGGAGACAGAGGGAAGTGCACTGATTCCTTCCATGATCCCTGAATAGCAGCAGTGGGTCTCAGCATCTTATTACCACCAAACAGGGTGGCAGGCAAGCCAGCTGCCACCTTGTCCTGTGCAAACCACAGGCACCATCCCCAAAACCAGGCAAATGACTATCTTATATGTTCAGGGATAGCAAAATGGTCCAGGGTTGGAAGCCATGTTTCCTTCCCAACAAGACCTAACTGCTGTGTGTACACCACACACAACACACATATCAAGACCAACTGATGGAACTCCTTCATCAACCCCCTCCATGAGTGGGAAATGCGGATCTTCATTCCTGTGACACAAGATCCTGAAGGTTGCTGAAAAATGCTAGTCCCAGCTGACTGAGGCAGCACTTTGATTCACTGCACACCATTAAGTTTTTGTTCGTTTGTTTTTCTGAGATAGAGTCTTGCTCCGTCCCCCAGGCTGGAGAGCAGTGGCACCATCTCGGCTAACAGCAACCTCTGCCTACTAGGTTCAAGCAATTCTCCTGCCTCAGCCTCCTGAGTAGCTGGGATCACAGGTCCATGCCACCGTGTTCGGCTAATTTTTGTATACTTTTTTTTTTTTTAGTAGAGATGGGGTTTCACCATGTTGGCCAGGCTGGTCTTGAACTCCTGACCTCAAGTGATCCACCTGCCTTGGCCTCCCAAACTGCTGGGATTACAGGCATGAGCCACCATGCCCAGCCACCATTAGATTTTGGCAGGAATCCTTGTGCTAGATGCCACTATCCCACCAATCACTGAGCACTTCTCCCTTCCTGCCCCTGGTGCTGCTGGATCCTCTATGGCAAGCCGCCGTTCCTGCCCACCCACCTGAGGACAGAAGCCTCCAACTCTGCCTTGCCAGGAGACTGACCAGTGTGTCTGACAGATGGTGAGTCCTCTGCTGTTCATGGCCCTAAAAAACATGAGACAATTATTTCACTCAGACCACAGTAAGCTAATGCTGAAAGAGGTTATAATGAAATAACACATTCCCTAGTCAGGACTTACCCACCCTGGGGGCCATCCTTGTCATTATTTCTGATTTTAATTCTACTGGTGGCCATTTTCCACCTCTCTAAATAATTTTTAAACTCTCTTTCTGGGTATCAACTTTGGATAATATTTATTGGCATCCCAGTATGAGAGGTGAGTTTGGTAGGCCACAAACTCCCAGGCTCTGGTGCAAGTGACCAGATGATGGCACCAGCTACTGCAGTCACACTCACACCGAGGGGATCCATTCTTAGCGAGAGCACTGGGATAAAAGAGATCCTTCCAAGAGCTCCCACCTAACTCTGGGAATACAGAAGCATCCATTAGAAAGCCGGTGGTCACACAGCCTTCGGGATGGACACAGGCTCTTTTCTTAACTTTATAAAGCCCCGGATAGGCTGGCACTAACGTGGCATGTCACTGCCGCACGTTGAGGGCAGGAACTGGCTCCTGCTCCAGTCTGCCTCCTCTGCGCCCAGCACTAGGCCCGTCTGCTCCATGCAGGATGAGCAAGTAGCTGAGGCCTGTCCACCCAACCCGCGCAAAGGGTGGAGCGGCAGAGAGCACGAGCGGCCAAGATGAAGTCCTCGCAGGCTTCTTTGATTCTTTCTACTACTGTATATGAGATATTCTCGATATCTGAGGGATGAAGAGCAAACAAAATGTGCTCTATCCACACAATGGGGATGGGAATCAACCCTAAGGGGAAAGGAAATTCTGATGCATGCTACAACACAGATGAGGCCTGAGGACTTCAGGCCCAGTGAAAGAAAGCCAGCTGCAAAAACACAAATGACTGTATGATTCCACTTAGATGTGGCACCTGGAGTCGTCAAATTCACTGAGACAGAAAGTAGAGGCCGGCAACGATGGCTCACACCTGTAATCTCAGCACTTTGGGAGGCCTAGGCGGGTGGATAGCCTGAGGTCAGGAGTTCGAGACTAGCCTGACCAACGTAGTGAAATCCCATCTCTACTAAAATTACAAAAAATCAGCGAGCCGTGGTGGCAGGTGCCTGTAATCCAAGCTACTTGGGAAACTGAGGCAGGAGAATCACTTGAACCAGGGAGGTGGAAGCTGCGATGAGCTGAGATCACGCCATTGCACTGCAGCCTGGGCAACAAGAGCAAGACTACCTCTGGAAAAAGAGAAAAAAAAAAAAAAAAAGAACCCACTAGGGTAGGGCTGCCAGCACACAGCCGCAAGCTCCAGCTTTATCCACTTATGCCCTGGACACTGCCCAGACCCCCGCAGGTTCACGTCAGTGTCACCCCAGCCCTCCTGCCCAGGAGATCCTAAGTTCAGGAGACCCTCTCCAGCCCAGGATGCAGGGGGAGGCAGCCCCCAAGATCACCTAGGAGTGAGTACAGAGGGCAGGGCATGCTGGACGCTCCGGACTGGGAAACCCAGATCATGGCCCCTGCGTCGTGGCCACATCTCCTGGGAGAGGAGAAAGGCCTGCCTCACCTCATTGGAGGGACCCTGACCCAGAGGCCTGAGAAAAAGTCACCTGCATGATCCAGACTCCTGCCAAGCTGCGCCTTAGGAAAACTTGTCCCACTTCAACCTCCAAAGCCCTCAGGTCGTTATTTCTAAAACCACTGTCCTTTCTCAAAGAGGACGGAAAATAGAAAAACAACAACCACTATCACCACCAGGAAAATACACACACACACACACACACACACAGAATGAGGCACAGAAGGTTGAAGAGGTCAAAGGCAGTTTAGGCCCCACCCTCCCCCAAAAAAGTGCCAGACGCATGATGCCGAGTTTGGAGTTTGGAGTGCTTCACCCTCCGCGTGCCCATTTAGGAACTGACTGCACTCACCCATAGATTTATGTCTAGTCCCTAACTGGTCGCATCTGAATAGATCTGAAAAAAAAAATAATAATAATAAGCCTTTCTCCTGCCAGTAAATACTGAGTTAAGGCTGGCAGCCCACCTCTAAGGCTCTGCTGTCCACCCGGGTCCTGCAGGGCACGCCCATAGCTAGTGTCCTCCCACCATGCTTCCTCCGTATCAGCTCGGGAAAGGAAGTTCGGCCTCCTACCTGGGCACACCAAGGCCCGCTGCCCGGCCTGTGGAGCCCTGCTTGGGGACCGGGGGCCTCAATGTTCTCCTTCACCATCTGCGGCCAGATCTCCCGCCAGCAGCCTTGCCAGGCAGTGCCTGCGGTGGGAAAGGGGCCTGGCCGAGGGGCAGGCCCGCCCCGCGCCCCCAACCCGGCGCCTGCAGCCAGGGCAACCAGGTGTGGGGTTTTTAATTGACAAGTTATTCCCTCCGAGCCTTATAAAGGGAAAGGGAAAGGGGCGAAGATCCGGGGTCGGGTTCTCCGGGGGAAGCGAACCCAGAGGCAACACCAACCCAACTGCCGCCAGACACTGGGACTTGAAGCCAGCGCCAAGCGGGGCCTCGGAGCGCACGGGCGGCCCGGCCAGCCCGGCGGACTCCAGCGGGCGCCCCGCCCCGGCGTGAGACAGCGCCTCCAGCGGGCACCCGGCGGCCGTTCGCTGCGGCGTCCCGCCCGGGGTGCGAGAGCCGCCACCAGGTCCCCGCCGCACTCGCCCGCCGGTCGTGGGAGGGGAAAGCGGCCAGTAGGAGAGGAGTGTGGAGCCAAGTGCATCCCCAGATCCCAGCAACCACCGCCCAGCAACCCCGCGGTCCCGGCGACCCCAGAAAGCAGCGCTCGGCAACACTCTGGCCGCAACCTCCGCTCCGCCCCCCACGCGTCCGGGTCCCTGCGGCGCCGCGCGACGCCCCAGGCTGCCAACGCCAGCGACTCAGGCAGCCCGGGTCCCCCAGCTTACCTGGCCGGGGCGCGGGGCTGCCTCAGCGCGCTGCTGTCCTGCCCCGTGGCCGCCCGCTGGGCCGCGAAGCCGAGCTCCTGGGAACCCGCGCCGAGCCGCACACACCTACCGCCCAGCAGCCGCGCAGCCGCAGAACGGCGGGCGCGTCCCGGAAGCGGCCTACGGCGAGCCCGCAGGGCCCCTCCACCGCGCGCACGCGCACGCGCACTCGCCGGAGGCTGCCGGGCCCGCCGCCCAGCTGGCCGCTACACCCCGCAGCCTTTGGGATCACGGGGGCGTGAAACGCTTCCCGGTGACACCGCACGGCACGAAGAGAGGGAAGACAAAGATGCCTCCGCGGCGGGCGTGCGCGAGCACCTGCGCCCCTGGAGCCCAGACTCTGGAAGGCGCGGCACCCCGAACGCCCCGGGCCCTGGAGAGCGCGCGGATTCGCCAGGCGCTACCCGGCCCTGCGTGCTGGGGGGCTGCAGGGGTCCGGTCCCGCGGGTAGAGCCGGTGAACCGGGGGCTCCCGCCCTGCCCCGGCCGCCACGCTGCGCCCTGCTCACTCGACCCCGCGCAGCTGTAAGCGGGACCCTAGAGCAAGGAACGCTCGGGGATCGCGGCCTCCCAAAGCCCCATCCCGCAGGCGAGGCCCCCTGCTGCCTCCCCACCGCCGCTCCCCCTGGCGTGTGCAAGACTCCTAGTCTTCCCTACCCGTCCCCTGTAACCACCCCAGCACCCCGTTTCCGATACCTGTGCTGCTTTAGCCCCCAACCCTAGGGCCTCACTCCAGGCCATTCTCTCCTTGCAGTCCTCATTGGAGAGGACCCTGACCTACGAGGGGCCCTGGAGAGCACACACTCACATCCCCAGAGGAGCCAGCCTTCTGCCCCCACAGCGCGAGAAATTCCTTGGAGGCCCTGGAAGGTCGCGCTGGGGACTCCAGTGCCACCTTCGGCCCTCTGGCCCTTCCGTCGAGTCCCAGGTAGATGTGGTTAGCCGTGGGAGACGCACAGGTGCCTTGTCTGGGCAGAGCGGGGGCCCAGGTGCCTCCCTCCCTGAGTGATTTGCCCTCTTCTTGTGGCTGGATTAGGTGAAGCTTTGTCTGAAGAAGGCGGTAAAGAAGGACAGGGGTCCTGGCGGGTGAGGAGAGCCCATCTTCCCGCTGCCCTGAGGGCCCGAGCTGAGACCCTGAGGAGAAGTGACTGGGAGAAGTCGAATCCTGAGCTGCACTAGGGTTAGATACATTGCGGACTTGGCCTCTCCACACCATGAGCCTGAGTTTAGAGAGCAACTGCAGAAATGAATGGGATTCAAGATGAGGACTGAGGAGGCACATTTGCATCCTCTCCTTTGATTAAACGGATGGATCCGTGTTAATGGATCCGTGTTTTTAAGTCGAAGCCACAACAACAAAGAGGGCAGAAGGAAATCGTTAGCAGATGAACGATTTCATCTGGAGGATGAAACAGATTTAGAGACCTGTGGGGTAGATTAGAGGGCACAAGCCCAGAAAATATGCAGAGGGTGTGGAGCGCAGGGAAGCTGACCCATCCACCTGTGAGATCCTCAGGGAGCTTCCAGGCTCTGGTGCAGGTATCACGGAGGGCAAAGTGGAAATGGGGCCAGAACAGGCAGAATAAATGGAGATCCAGTATGGATAGTGAATGCTCCTTCCCCAATATCATGGATGCAGCCAAGGCACTTACCCAACCCCCCCCCCCCCCACCAAATCAGAGATTCTCTTCAGAGAGAATTGCGTACCCTGCCTGGTGAGAGTGGGTGCTGCTAATATAGTTTTCAGTCCTCTGGAGGAAGTCCTCACCATGGCATTTAGAGGTACACTAGTGTAATGACTGGTTCCCACTCCAAGCTCTCCCCACATGCACATAACCCCCTCAGCCTGTCCATAAAACTCTTTTAGATACAAAAGTACAGGACGGAAGGTAACCCCATATATTTTAGAAAAGCTTCCAAAGTGAAGGAGAAAGAACCAAAGAAGTCCTCAGATAACATTCAGAGAATAAAAGATTAAAAGAAAGAAAATGTGTATTCTCAGGAAAGTTCAAGAAAATACTATAATATAATACATCTTAAAAAAGACACAGGAAAAAGGAACAGACAAACAATTATCTTTTCAAAGGCTGTGGTAAATACATAATAGATTTACCATTTCAACCATTTTTTAAGTGTACAGTTCAGTGGCTGTATTAGTCTATTTCACACTGCTAAAAAGATACTACTGCAGACTAGGTAATTTACAAAGGAAAGAGGTTTAATTGACTCACAGTTCCACAGGACTGGGGAGGCCTTAGGAAACACAGTCATGGCCGAAGGTGAAGGGGAAGCAAGTACCTTCTTCATGTGGTGGCAGGAGAGAGTCTGCGTCAGTGCAGGAAAAGGTACCAGTTATAAAACTATCGTATCTAGTGAGAATTCACTCACTATTAAGAGAGCAACATGGGGTAAACCACCCCCATAAGCCAATCACTTCCCATCGGGTCTCTCCCTAAACACTGGGGATTATAATTTGAGATTTGGGTAGGGACACAAAGCCTAACCATATCAGTAGCATTAAGGATATTCACACATTTTTCTAAAACTATCATGGACAACCCTCCCCAGAACTCTTTAATCTTGCAAAATGGAAACTGTGTACCCACAAAGAAATAACTACCCATCCCCCAGTGCCACCCATCTTGGCAACCACCGTTCTACTTTCTGTCTCCATGAATTTGACTACTCAGGCTGGTCTTGAACTCTAGGGCTGAAATGATCCACCTGCCTCAGCCTCCTAAGGTGCTGGAACTACCTATCTCTATCAGCTTTACAGTAGCCTTGAAAACCAAGTATCACACAGTGATGTTATCTGTTCAAACAAATCACAAACAAAAACAATAACAAACCACCGGAGAGCTCAGAATGTGATTGGAGCCACCTCAAAGCCCATCTCCAGAGGACTGTGGCTAACATTAATGAATTATTAAAAGTTTCTTTGTTTCCAGGTTCATCCATGCCCCAACAAAGGACACAAACTCATTGTTTTTGATGGCTGCATAATATTCTATGGTGTATATGTACCACATTTTCCCTGTCCAGTCTATCATCGATGGGCATTTGGGTTGGTTCCAGGTCTTTGCTATTGTAAACAGTGCTGCAATGAACATTCGTGTGCATGTGTCCTTATAGTAGAACGATCTATAATCCTTTGGATATATACCCAGTAACGGGATTGCTGGGTCAAATGGAATTTCTATTTCTAGGTCCTTAAGGAATTGCCACACTGTGTTCCACAATGGTTGAACTAATTTACACTCCCACCAACAGTGTAAAAGTGTTCCTATTTCTCCACAGCCTCTCCAGCATCTATTGTCTCCAGATTTTTTAATGATCACCATTCGAACTAGCGTGAGCAAACAGACACAAGAGCAGAAAATCAAACACTGCATATTCTCACTCATAGTTGGGTGTTGAACAATGAGAACACATGGACACAGGGAGGGGAGCACTACACACTGGGGTCTATTGGGGGGAAATGGGAGAGGGACGGTGGGGTGGGGAGGTGGGGAGAGAGAGCATGGGGAGAAATGCCAGATGTAGCTGAAGGGCAGGAAGACAGCAAATCACACTGCCATGTGTGTACCTATGCAACAATATTGCGTGTTCTTCATATGTACCCCAAAACCTAAAATGCAATTTTTAAAAAGTTTCTTTGTGAGATCAAGAATGAGACATAAATGCCTAATACTATGGTTTCTCTTCAATATTGTAATAAATGCCTTAGAAAGTGCAGGTAGACATGAAAAACAAGGGAAAGAACTGGGTTAGAAAAGAAATAAAACTGTCCCTGGTCCCAAATGATGCAATAGGATATCTAACAAAATACTGAAAAAAAAAAAAAATCTGAAAAAAACACTATTTGCCCTGTGTGGATGCTTGCTTAAAAGCTCCATTCTTGGGATTTGTCTTTATTTTACCTGACTTAGTGCTTTCTCTGGATAAACAACGTATCTCCTGAGGGCCTCTGTGCAAAAATAAAATAAAATAAGGTCAGAAGATAATTGTTTCCTATTTCCACCTCCTGAGGTAGTGCTGCCAGCTGGGCAGACAAGTGGCTGACCAAAAACTTAAAATGAAAAACTGGGGAATGAGCTTTCTCTTGGCTATTTGATAAAGCTTAGATATAATCTTGGGAGTTGAGGGGGTCAGTTGCCATTCTGTGCCAGGCTATGGGCATGTGTGGGATTGTGTGTGCTGTTTTATCTCAAGAAGATCTGAGAAGGCCCCATGCTTTCACTTCTGGATGGTTTAGAAGCTCTAGGTAAGAAAGAATTAAAGGTAAAGTAGTAAACAGCCTGTCAGAGAATCAGAGCATTGACCGTGTGCCCTGACACACACACAGACACACACACACACACACACACACACACACTAGCACACACACACAATGATTCCATCAACAAAGGCTGCGAGATCTACTGAAACAAGATCTCATTGAGGGAAGTCCCTGAATAAACATCGGCAATAACCATTAGTAAAAACAAATTTTGAGAATGAAACCATTAGTAAAAACAAAATTTGAGAATGAAATGATTTCCATTATATCATGCAAGTCAATTCATAGCATGTAACATTGACAATGTTCAACAATAAGTTACAAGATGTGGAGAAACAGAAAATTATGCTCTGTCCACAGGGAAACCTGCAGTCAATAGAAATTGTTCCTGAGAAAGCCCAGAATCAGACTTAATGAACACTTTCGATCAGCTACACCTGTCCATAAAACTAAAATAAAACTCCATGCCTAAATAACCAAACAGAAACATAAGAAGGATATCTCAACAGGAGATAATATCAATTAATTGATATATATTATTTTAAGAACATACATTTTGAATATAATAAGTATAATCACCAGAATGAAGTATTTACTAAAAGGGCTTAATAGCAGATTTGAAGTGGCAGTAGAAAGAATCAAGTAACTTTAAGACAATTGAGATTATTCGGTCTATGGAACAGAAAGATAAAACTTCAGTAATGATGCAAAAACTAGGCATAAGATCAACAAGCTCCGAACTTAAAAAAAATAATAAGGAAAAGAATTTGAAAAAACTCTGAAAATCAATCAGACCTAATATACATCTAC